ACTCCATCTTATTGGCCACAGTGACATCTGTAGACCAAACATCAAACTGCCATCGTTTCTGACCCAGCACTCCTCCAAGCACGGTGCCTGTGTGGACGCCCACACGCATGTCCACATCAGTTTTTGTCTTGTCCCTTACATACCTAAGACAACAAGGAAAGAAGACGGTAAATGTGATAACACCCTCATTAGAGTGAAACATGGTTCTTTCAAGGAAGGTACAGTTTGTAGCATTCTGCCTGTGTGCTAAAATTAATTAAAATTTTATTGTTACTACTTATTAATTTCACATATTTCTATAGTTAGTAAATTTGGACGGCCCTAGTAATATTATATATAAGAACAACAACAACAACAACAACAACAATAATAATAATAATAATAATAATAATAATAATAATAATAATAATAATAATAATAATAATAATAATAATAATAATAATAATAATAATAATCACACAAACATTGAGGATTACTTTAAAACACTAAAAATGTAAATATGTGCTTCTCTAATCTCTTGAAGCAGGTATTTGTCACTTACGAGATGGCCTCTACCATGGCCAATCCCATCATTATGGAACAGGCTGCATGGTCCTCTCTGAAGTCAGGGAGCCCACAGATGCAATAGTAGCAGTCGCCAAGAATCTTAATCCTGAGCTGGTGATGTTCCTGTAAAAAAGACAAGAGATACGGATCTTATTAAATACTGTAAAGGGAGGGGAAAGATTGTTCAATGATACTTTGGCTGTCTTTATAAAAAAAAAAAAACAACAACAAATACAAACAAATACTCACAGCTGCCAGTTTATCAAAGCGTGCGAACAGTTCATTCAGCAACTTTACGAGCTCCTGAGCGCTGCAGGCTGATGACAGCTGGGTGAAGCCCACAATGTCAGCAAACAGGATACTGCAGAAGTAGCGCACACATTTCAATGAAAAACTTAACACGTTGCAAAAACCCCCGCATAATCACCTGAGGTAAAGGCACCTTTATAAACCTGACCTGACATTTTCATGGCGGTACATGTACATGGTGTTAAACTGTTGCTGCTGCACCTCCTTCTGATCGGCCTGGTTCTTCATGCCCTGCAGCATCTCATCGGCAATATGCTTAGGCAATATAGACAGTAATAATTCCTCCTAGAAAGAAACAGAGTCAGGAATAATGTGAGGCTTGCCAATCTCAGCAAGAACCGTCCCCTGTGTGGACTCTCAGGGGAACCTGTCATTTGCTCAAATGTGTTCTGGTTGGATGAGAAGATCCGTCAGTTTTCAGTAAAATGCCCTGTGGGAATTTAACATTCACTACCTCATTAGATTTTCAAGGTCTGCCTAAACACTGCTCTCATCTTTCCTTAAATTGGCACAGAAGGGGAATATAAATAAAGAAAGTGTGTAAGAATTAAATAGATGAAATTAAATGGCAAGATTACATTATCTTTGAATTTCACACTTTAGTCGCTGGATCCTTTTTAAATTTGTAGCATCCTACCCATGAAATTGAATGAAAAGCCACAAAACTGTACTATATTAACCTTTCTGTGTGGTCAACATACAGTACCATGTTTTTAACACTCATTTGCCAGGTAATGTGTAGAGGGGCGCTATTTTACACATCATAATAGACTGTGAAATCATATGTCAGTGTTTGGTGTTGTGGGTGACTCCACTTTGTTACATTATGTAATTAGATTCCGTGATAGTAATATTAATCCCTAATTAATAACAACAATAACAAAACACATTTAGTACTCAAACGATATTTTTTCTGCTCTAAGGTATCAGATCTTTACCCATTTTGTAAATGCAACCGTGTTTGTTACAGGACTCTACTGTGAACTGTTATAAATCCCTGCAGGTGTCTCTGATGGAGAAAACAAGTTTCCCTCTAAACAACCCATTAGCCTCACACCTGGCAAAACAAACGGTAATTAGGGCAGCACAGAGTGTCCTGTCTGCAGAAGTACCTGTGTGCTCGTGCTTATGTGCACTTCAATACAAATATATTGTACTTCATGTATGACAGTGTAAGGTTTTGTGTGTGTGTGTATCTCACCTGCTGGGTACTCTGCTCCTCAAGGGTAAGTTTGACCTCCAGTGACTGACGTGCCTCTAGAAAAGCTGTCCTATATTTCCTGTCTGCCATGTAGTAGGACATGACTCCAACTGCAGCTGCACACAGGAACAGCATGTTGTTGGCAAAAAGCTGTGGGGAAAAAAATGACATGCAATATATAATGAAATAACTAGAGGTTGTGATATA